ATAATGGCCAATCGAATGATAGGAGAAAGTAGAGCTTTAGACTTAAAACCTCCAATGGATGAAGGCTTAATGAATTTTCATTTTGAGCTTATTGAAACTTGTATTGATTTAATGGCTCGTTATACATTTTCAAATTATTCAGCACGGCCTAAAAGGTAATGAATTTCTTAATTCTTAATCTTGATTAATTAGAGCAAGTAGAGCAAACAAACATAAAATTACGATAATTTTATAACAGGTTACCAGCTGCCGATTTTCTTCTTAAAGAAGGCCAGTCAATGACTTGGCTTCTTGGCAATAAACTTATTACTGTAACAACAAGTGGTTGTAGTAATAAAGCTATGCGTGGTGGACTTTGTGACAATTGCTGGGCAGCATGTAAACCTAACTTTCTGTTACTTAATAATACAAAAACCTCTCATTCAAACTTGCAACGTACTTCAAGTATTGAGGTATTTATTTGTATAACTGTTTTGGAAAACGATTTAAATTCATATAAATTCAAACGTATTATTTAAAATGGAATAATATATATAAATATATAAATTATATATATATATATATATATATATATATATACATATATGAATAGCTTTTTACAATCTGCGGTATTGATTGTTAGTTCTTTTTATACACTATATATATATATATTGAAATCAGTATGCTTATAATTGTATTGCATGTTAACTTAAAAAAAAAGATATATTATATCAGAAATTATATTAACAGACATCAAAAGAAGATAAGTTATCAAGACAATCTTCTGGTGGTCATGGGAATTCAAATACAAATACTGCTACAAATTCTCCTACGGAAGAATCTAAAAAATCTGCAGAAGATGCGGATAGTACGAAAAAGGAATTTCTTATAGAGAAAACTGATAAGGATCAAAATGAAACATCAAAATTGGGACAAATATTAAATAATGAAAATAAACAAGATGGACATGTACTCTGTGCATGCTGGTGTCAAGGATGGGCTGAAATATATGTTCGTAGACCTACAGGCGATATGTCATGGATTATGAGGATTCAGAATTCAACACAATTTGAAACTCCTATGGATTTTCCTATACATGATATTATGGCTTTATATATGCCAAATGAAGATGTATTACCAAATAAACAACAAGAGGCTACTTCAGAATACTCTGATGATGAAACAGAAGTATGCTTATTTCCAAAATTAATTAGCTGTGAATGATTTGAAAACAAGAAGGATTTATTATACAACTTATTTTTTATTACAGGATGTACCAAGTAAAAGTAGTAATAATCAGTCACAAAATGAACATGGTGTGAAACCGGTAATTTCTTCAACATCAGGTCCAATTGCAATACCTGGTTCACCAGCTCGACCTAGTCCATCTCGGCAAAGTTCAAAAGATAGCTTAGAAAGTTTAGAGGAAGGTGAAGAAGGTATTTATTATATTACATAATAATTTATGATTCTTGTAAAATGAGTGATCTAAAAAAATGGAAATCTTCCATAGATACGCGACGTTCCAGGAATCCAGTACGTCGATCGAATTCTAGTCCAGAAATGAGCGCTAATTGGAAAAATCCATTTTTAAATAAAGAAAAACTAAATGTGCAGCAACCAATTGATAAAGATTTTACTTGCTCAGAGCTAGAGAATAAATTGGATGCAGACTTGAAGAAGCATTCAAAAAATATTTATACAAAAGATATGAGGTATGTTTTTATCAAAAACATATACATATGATAATTGACGATGGATGAAATAGAATTTTCTAAAAATTTTGTGTTCCCAAGAAATGCTTGTATATTTAAATGAATTATTAAATAAAATATTGTATCAATCATATTCTATAAATAGATTTTATCGTAGTAAAGATTATTTTTAATATCTACATTAAATATTTATTTATGTAATGTTTGTAGAGTTAGTTGTGAAGCTATACCAGAAGAAATATTTGGCATGGGAACAACTCCACCTTCTTCGGAAAATACTGGAGATCATCCAGCCGCATTACGTTCGCAACGTTCTTATCCAGGAGCAACACAAATTACACAAACTATTTCAACAACCAGCAATACTGTACCACCATCTCCCACAACTGTGCAGGTAGAGACAACACTATAGGAATACTAATAAAATGACAAAATTTATACTTTTACAATATGAAAATTATTGTAGGCACCAGGAAATTATTTAGGAATACAAGCACGCCCTTCACAGATACAATCATCTACCACAAAAGCGCCGCAATCACCTACTCAAATTTATCGATTATCTAGTCTCGATTACAATCAGAAGCAAATCCCACTAACTGTTGAAAGTAAACCACCTATTGGACGAACTCATATTACAGATAAAGTATGTCAAAAGAATTATTTTTTTTCTCTCGTTTTTATTATACATATATTATCAACCGTGTAGTTACAACTAATCATTTATTTTAGCAAAAAGACGAAAGGCCAGATCCAGCTACATTGCCTCCTTTACCTATACCTTTCCGTGACAGAGGTCACACAATTTCTGTTATGAGCCCAGTAAAAAAGTCACGAGAATGGGATAACATGCGACGAGGCAATTCTCCTCGAGTAAAAGATCCTCCGCGGACAGGCATTAATCCGAGGTATATCATATTTATCATGTTTTTTTTTTATGGATCTGTGTGATAAGAATTTCTTCACATTTTAAAATTTTAATATAATGTAAGAATTGTTTTTTCAAGACATGAAATTAACATGTTCTCCCCTTACAGTTTTGTATTTCTTCAACTTTATCATGCAGCGCACTTTGATACTACGACAGAAAAGCCTTTATTAGTTCCACAGACAACAGCCATACAACGTGCGGTGACAAATCTAGATAGAATACAGCCGTATGAAACTCACAAAATTGGAATACTTTATGTCGGCTTGGGACAAGCTTCGAATGAAATTGAAATTTTGGCAAATCAGCATGGCTCCCTTCGTTACACCGAATTTTTGAAACGTTTAGGAACGTTAGTTCGACTGAAAGACGTCGATGAAAACATATTTTTAGGTGGATTAGATCGTAATGGCGAGAATGGAGAGTTCGCTTATATTTGGCAAGATGATGTTACGCAGGTTTGTCAAAAAAATCAATATTGTGCATCAAATTAATTTGTCATAATATGTCATTCTCTCTCGCAATTTTTAAAATAATAATTTTATTTTTGAAAACTTTTTAGGTAGCTTTTCATGTTGCAACATTAATGCCTACAAAAGCAAGTGACCCAAAGTGTACATCTAAAAAAACGCATATTGGAAATAATTATGTAACAATTGTATATAATGAATCTGATGAACCTTATAATATACAGACGGTTAAAGTATGTATAAAATTCAATATATTTATAAATTTTGTTGCGAATGAGTGTGTGTGTGTGTATATATATATAATTTTTGTTGCACTCTTATGTACTTTCAGGGACAATTTAATTACGCCTGTGTCGTGATACAACCTTTAGATCATGGTACTAATCAGGTTACAGTGATAGCACGAGAAGAATTGGCTGAGCATATTGGTCACAGCGAGCCTAAAATTATTTCCGATCAAAATTTGGCTATTCTTTCACGACAACTTGCTGTACATATTAATGTAAATATCATAAGTTTTTATATATTTACATTACAGAAAGATTAACTGTAATATAATACAGTATAATTAATTACAGCTAGCCTCAATGGTTTATTCGTCTTTGAAGCAAAACAGTCATTATCCATACGCTTCCAATTGGTTAGAGCGTTTACGTCATATCAAGCGATTAAGAAGCAGAGTGTTGCAAGAAAACATTAACAACAATCCGGAGACTACTGCAGATGAATTATCACCGAGAACCAACAAACGAGTGTATATGGACGACTTTACGGAATATACAACATAGTTTATATATTATATATATATTTATCTCTCACACACACACACACACACACACACACACACACACACAACACACACATACACACACACACACACATATTATAACATTGAATGATAAAAATAATGACGAATGGACATCATTGATCAGGCATTGAAATTAATGCATAAATATCAAGTGTATTATTAAATCAATAAAGCATTAAAAAAAATTTTTTCAAAGATTAAAGATATATAGAATACTAATTGTAAGATATTACGAAGAATGGTACTTTTCATTATATTATAATAATATATTACAAGATCTTATATAATATTAGCTTTTTACTTAAATAAAAAAATAAAAAAAAACGGTCTGATTTTCAAACTAATGATAGATTTTTGTTTAGGCTAAAATTAGATATAGTATCCTATCTTAAAATTGCCGTGTTACCTGCGTTGAAGCCTCTTTTACCCAATGTTAAAAAATTCATATCTTCCAGAAAAATATAAAGATATAAACTTCTTTCTGGGCTCATCTTAAACATGAATTATGTGGCTATTTTTAAAAAAATCGTGATTTTATTAAAAAATGGCCGATTAAAACGCCATTTTATTGAAAATTGTTAAAATTTGTTTAATTAAAATGTAATTTGGTATAAATGTTATTGGACGATGTATGGAGTTTAATACGCACCGCGCGCCTGTTATGTATGTACAAGCTAGTATTAGGTAAATTTGAATTTGTTAAAACTTTATAATTTATTTTAAATAAAGGATAGAAAAAACTTTTAAAAGTAACGAACAATGTTTTATATCGCAAGATTGTTTACTGCTAATAAAAGTGAAATATTTTGTAAAGATATAATCTCCAAATTTTATATTTTTAAGTAACGTTTCTAGGGTTGGTAAATTATTTGTATGTACCGTTATCATTTTCGGTAGTTAACTTTTTTTCAATAATTAAAGATATTACATGTATTACAAAAATTTTAGTCTTAATTATAAGGCCGTAAGCAAATTGACCAATCACAATGAAAATTGCGGTCTTACATTTTTAGAATGTTCGACTGTGATTGGTCAATTGCTTACGACTTATGCGTTGTGCACAAGTACTACACTCTACAAGTACTAAGTAGTGTCAGTAAGGCATCACTGGTCTTTGGTGGTCTTTGGTCAATTGATTATTTAGCGGCTTCAGGCCACTTGAGAGACTTCAGACAGAACATTATGTCAAATAAACACTTGTTTCTGAAATCAGGATTTCCGCGGGCACCTTTTGGTCTCGGGATCGGACGTTATGTTTGCCAGTTGCAGAGAATAACTTTAAAATTTTGCAAAAGCCACGGTTCAAGTGGAGGAATGAGGTGATTTTTAAAATCTAACCTGTACTCACGTGGATATATTTTATACGCAATAAGATGCAAAATTATTAATATTTTTCTCTTTCTTTTTCTTCTTAAATATTAATTATTATTATTTTTTTGTAGAGGCTTTATAGAGCACGATCTAGTCAATTACGCGAAAGAAAATCCAGGTGTGGTAGTATATGTTAAACCAAGAAGACACAGACAGCCAGTCATAGTTGCCGAATATCGTACGTTTGTGTCCATCTATGAAATAGAGAAGAAATGTATTGTAATAATTGAAATCTTATTTGCAAAATGCTAATATGAGAAAATATATCTTGTTTAGTGAATGGCGATAGTCAATGGATGCAGGTTGTTAATTATAGCCGAGAGGATATTGTAAAATGGATGGAATTATTACGAACACAGTTTCATGATAGTCCTTCGTTGAGATTGCGTAAACTGTGGCATACGGAATTTCCATCAATTCAGGGACCATGGACCCCATTTACTTTTAGAAATTCTATGTTAAACTTGGCACAGTTTCCTAATGTAATTATGTTTTATGCACGATCAGATGTCATAGGATATTAATAATATTGTGCATATAACTTGATAAGATCTCTGACAAATTTCTTTTTTATTTGTAGAAGGAACTTGGTGCAGCTATTAAGCTTGGTCCTACAGCAACGGAACAACTTATCGAATTATTCAAGGCTCAACAATTGGCTGATAATACAACTAATAATTCCGTAGAAGTCTGTCAAGGTGAACAAACTTCAGAACATATTCAAAGGACATAAATTTTTCAGCAATTTTTAATATAGTACTGATTTCTAATTTAGAGTATCCAAATATATATATATATATATAGAACAAAAAATATAATCTTTTCATTTCTCATAATTAAAATTGATACGTAAAAATATTTTCAGTACTTTATTAATTATTATGCATTCAGCGTGTACATATATTGCAAATATTAATTTGTTTTATATTGTAAATGTTATGGATGTCTCAGATTTTTTAAATCTTTAATTATTATAAAATGAAAACAGCTAATCTAAAGCGGTGTCTACAATGAGATTTAATATTTAAGGAAATTGACCAATCACAATCGATTATTCTTCTCACGTGGGATGAATAATCGACTATAATTGATCAATTTTCTTAAATCTTAAGTCTCATTGTAGACGACGTTTAATTTGTAATGCTGCGTCTACAATGAGACTTAAGATTTAAGAAAATTGACCAATCATAGCCGATTATTCATCTCACGGAAGAAGAATAATCGATTGTGATTGGTCAATTTTCTTAAATCTTCTCATTGTAGACGCTGTTTAACATAAAATGTTTAACATAAAATGAATTTTTTTTTTGCTTTTGACCGTAACTCAACAAAATAGATTTACAAGATATGTGTAATAATAAAAGATTTAGGACCATCTAGTATCATTATCTGATTTTTTTCCTCTTGATTGTTTTTAACCTATGCTATGTGATACATTGCGTGTTACAGTTAAACATATCGTGAAAATTGTTTAATATTCGAGAAAAGTGTGGAATCTTTAATGATTATTCCATTTATCATATTATTTTATAGTATAAATATGAAAAAGCCGTCGTATGTCGTCTGATCATAAGCCGTAAATTGTAAAAATTAACCAATTACAATCGAGTATTCTCTTTACATTCAACTGTGATTGGTCGGTTCTTACGGCTTATGACACTGACATACAATGTATTGTAGAACGGGCCACTAAAGGAGGGCACACCCATTATTGTAGATAACCCTGCATATCTTTCCATTCGTTCTCTTTTATTGTCGCGCTGAATTGCGCCCCGAGTTTCATGAACAAGTTTGTTGAAAACGAGGTTTGATGGCAAAGGCCGGCGAGAGAGAGAGAGAGAGAGAGAGAGAGAGAGTGGCGATAGTGGCGACGTCGGCGACACGATCGCGAAGTAGATGCGGTGTAGTTGTCAGCCTGTATGCCTCGTATATATACTACATGCGTATGTATGTATATGTTGTACTCGCTCGTGGTTCATTCGCGTGGTTCAGCAGGAGCAACCGGAGCAACGCGAACAACGTGATCGGTGGTTCGTCGACGTGATGACGTCAGATCTCGAAGCATAGGCCGAGAACGCGTTTAAAGCCGAGTAGGGCGTGAAATCGTGCGTTTTCTTGTGCGTCGCGTCGCGTCGCGTCGCGGATGGAAGTATGTGCAAATAACAGCACGCGCGCGCGGCCGTTTTATCCACGGGATAAATTATGTTTGGTGCTGTTTTAACGTGATCGACAGTGAATAGTGTACCATGTTCCGCTGCATTCCGATTTTTAAAGGGTGTAACAGGCAGGTGGAATACGTTGACAAGCGTCATTGCTCTCTGCCGTGCGTCCCCGATGATATCCTGCGATATTCGAGGAGTTTAGAGGAGCTTCTACTAGACGCGAATCATATCCGTGATCTACCAAAAGTAAGCGAGTACCTGCCGTGCCGTGTGTGCGTGTGTGTGTGTGTGTATGGTATGTGTATGTACTACTGCTTCGCTCTCTTCGTAACTTTAATTCTTTTTCTATCTCACACATACACAACACGCACACATTCTTCTCCTTCCACGTTCCTACCATTGTATTGTATTCGTAATATAGTTCCGTCCCTGGACGGAAATGGACGGAAGGATTGTATTAAATGACGTTTAGTAATCTAAAAGCTCTCTTTTCTTTATGCAAAAGTAAAAAACAATCGACCGAGAATCTCTGTAGGCCGATATATCGTACGTTTATTTCAGAATTTCTTCCGACTCCAGAGGCTACGAAAACTTGGCCTGAGCGACAATGAAATACATCGTTTGCCACCAGACATCCAGAATTTCGAAAACCTCGTCGAGTTGGACGTGTCCAGGAATGGTAAGAAGCGTCGTGTTTGTATTTGTATAATTTTGTGGCTGTAACACACACACACACACACACACACACACACAAAGAGATTTTGGAAGGCGTGCTGCTTTATTTGCGCGCAAGATAGCGATAACTACAACTACTGGGACACGAACGCTGTCTAGGAATTCAAGCAATTGATCGTAATTAATCGTTAATTAGGAGAGCTTCGTTAACAATATCTGGCATTCTGTGCACGATTCGCAAAGTCGTTCTTACTGGCGGCATATTATTTTTTCTTTAACGTTGGAAAGTCTTTGCCGGTTGGCCGACTGTTTTAAAGAAGAAGGGCAAGTGCAGTCGAAAAGAGTATTTTGAGGTGCTATTTAACAGTAAGAAGGATAAAAAGCATAACTATCATCCCGTGGACTTGGTCTACGAAGGTAAAGTTACTGGAAGAGAATCTCGCATCGTATTTTTAATACTCGACGCGGCAACCATTGGCCGAGCGTTAATGAAACCCGTATAACGGTGTATTTTCTTTCGCTTCCTCTCATCGTCAGGTCTCCACTCTGTGTATGCCTGTAGCGCGTCACCGTGCTATCCAGCAGCAGCACTATCCTGCGCTGCGCACAGTGCTACCGACCGACCGACGCCACATCGCGATATGCCGAACTAAGCCGAGCGGAGCCGAGTCGCCCCGCCTGTCACTGGCGCCTATCGTGAATATTTCTGCTTCATATGTATATTTATTTCTTTTTTTTTTTCTTTTCTCGTTCTATCCATTGCGATTCATTGCGAGGTGTCTCCCTTGTCAAAATCGATGAATAGCTCGAAATAAAAAATTTCTTACCAACTATGTTTGCAACTCTCGGCGAGTTGATATTTTTGGGTCTCGCCAGGTAGAAATATCAACTTGTTTATGCGCGCGTGCATATGTGTGTATGTGTGCGGTGTACGTACAGTGCGTGCATGTAAAAAAGGGAATGGGAAAGACGAAGAGGAGAAGCGTGTTGGGTCAGGGCGACGAGAAGAGGGAGTGACGTTCCGTTTTACGATAAGGGAGCTTATTACGATCCTTGGAAATTGGTGAAAATTACATTCACGCGATGACCAATAAAGTTATAAATATTTTAGCAAATTTACTTAGTTTTGTAATTTTTACCAATTTCCAAGAACCGTAATAAACCCTCAAGAGAGAATCAAATTTTCTTTTAGAGATCATACATGGTATTTTTTATACTTACTCGAAGTAAATTTATACAGTTTTTCGCAGCGACATTCATCTTACAAAAATTTATTTCATGCGCCTTCCGACTTTGTATCGTGCATTGCAGATGACTACTTTACAAACGCAGAGTTTAAAGCATAGTTTCAAATATTTATAATAAATATATTAGGTCCATTACGGACTGTGTGAAGATCGGAGATTGGAGATTATTTTAATTTTAATTCGATTTATCTGTTGATCGAATTCTAATCTCTCTCTCTCTCTCTCTCTCTCTCTCTCTCTCTCTTCAATTCACAATCCTTAATTAATTTTCAAATCTTGCTCGGGCTTTACGAATATCCTTCAGTGAACTCTAAAGGAAGATTTTTATATTAGATTCGTACTGTTGATGATTGATTGACCGAGAAAGCGCAACAATTTATTGATAACAGCACTGTCGCGTTACGTGTTTTATACGTTTTGCTCCAGTAGGTGTACATGTAACATTTGTCATGTGTACATACATATTATCAAATAGTATTTTTCATCATCACTTTTTATCAGGAAAAGATAACGTAACACGTGCGATATCGCAAGGGAAATAGTTTGCGAAAGTTTAATACTTAAACGTAAAAGGTGTTGGCCTGAGGATATCGATCTCAGAATTGAATAAATTTCCAATAAAACAAATACTACTCCCGACTATAAAAGAATTGTGCGTTGATACTTGTGCTGACTACCACTTTTTCCATCGTACAAATACATTTCGCGATAGCGTTAACGTTAACGGTTATCGTTTACAATCGTTTACGAAGCAATACATAATATAGTGTATAATAATTATTATGACTGCGGTGTATCGTATCGCGTCGTTTCCTAGTATAGGTACATTTAGATACATTTTACATATAATAGTTGGACGTTGCGTGGCCACGTGCGCACGCATATAGCATCGCTATTCGCTATCTGTGTAAGTGTAGGCATTTACGATCAATTATGCATTGAGAAAGATGTGTTACGTATTTGGTTCCGTTTACAACAATATCCGTACATTCGTTGGCACTGAGTCATCCGGAATCGCACGTTGTAAAATGAGCGCGCGCGATGAATAGCCGCAATAGATGCAACACATAACGCACGACACGCAACACGTATATAGAAGGATAGAACCATAGTCCATATACAACTTCGCTTCTCGAATGCGTAAAAGATGAAGATTACGCAATCGCAACAGGTTTCGGATCGAGAAATCGAGAAGGTTACCGCTCGATCGAGATAACTACTGCGCTATGCCTGGCTAAGCCATAGGTACATACAGTCGCCGTATAGGTCCTTCCACAAACGCTTTTCTAATTTTTCTTCGGTCTCCTTGATAATACGTACATACATATCGCATATACGTTTGTACGTACGTTATGTGTTCGCTGTTTTACAGCTTTCTTATCAAGCCAATCCGATATATAATTTGACACTGACAAACTCAAGGCTGCAGATTCCGTTTGAGAAAAGCTGTCTTTGTACATGTAGATTTGAATTTTTAGAGTTCCACACGCATGTAATGTCTTTTATATATATATATCTAACGACGATTCAGTTTTCGAATTAGAGATGAAATGAAATTTGTAAATATGTCTCAACAATCGAATCGGAGTGGAAATATATATATAATAAAACAGCGAGATTTCCTCTCGTCTCGTCTCGTCTTCTCGTAATTGTCATTCTTTTACATTTATTGTCGTAGATTTTCTTGGCTCGCGACGTGCAAACATGACGTGCAATAGAGTAACGATCCCGTCACCTCTCTGAGGTAAATTACAAAGGCCGAGGGTGGACGCGTTTCGTGCTATTTATAATGTTTATTGCGGTTGCATCAAAAGGGGCCGCTGACTAACCGCGGCGATGCAGTAGCATCTGAAAATTGACGTTGCTTGCATAAAAAAAAAAAAGAAAAAGGGCATAATATGTCCTAGGGTGCCTGGGTGGACCGTCGCATCTCCATCCATCCATAAATTCTTCCTTCTATAGAAACGGCCCCTCTCTCTTTTATAGTGCAAACTCATCGCGCAGGTCAACACTCGGCTTGGCAATTTTTCCAATTTTAATGTCAAATCTATTTCAGCAATAAAATATCAAAAAAGAAAATGTCTTATCGCCTGAGAAAATTCATTAAAGTGTTTATCTATGATATTTTTATTAATCCATTTTTATTTATTTTATATTTAGACATTTTTTAACAACTTATTTAACAAAGAAGATTTTATTCGTGAGAGGCATCGCGCGTAAAATTTACTCCAATATTATTTATTTAATATTGCAAAAATTTGTAATAATATCCAAGTCTAATTTTATGAAACGTTCTTGATTAAAAGACTCTCAAATGCTCCTTTTGTCGCAACATTATTACAGTCACAATTAAAATGACTTTGCGTGATGAAAAATTCGACGCGACTGAAAGAAATTGTCACGGTGTATTTTTTTCGTAGCGGAATCACGCTTTGTTGTAATTTCCTCTCGTTAGTATCATGGTTCTCGGTTCGCGATATGACAGAGCCACTCTGGACGTGAAGCGAAACATGCAGAGCAATGAGTCGAATTGTTTCTTTTTCTCAACAAAAGTATGAAAATGAGAAAAGTATGCAAAACTATCAAATTGGAAAAGTATACAAAGTTGAAAGAATGCTCTTCAACTATTGATTTTGTGGAAATATATTTTTTTATACATTGTTAATCTCTTGAACAAATAATTAAAATATGCGCCACATTGCGCTTCAATATTTAAATATCAAAATTTTGCTTGCTTTCTCACATATGTGAGAAGGAGAAATAAATCAATGAAACTGAGATCTTATCTTATTTTATAGATATACCGGACATTCCCGAAAATATCAAGAATTTACAAGCGCTACAGGTGGCCGATTTCAGCAGTAATCCTATTCCAAGGTTATTGTTATTCAATTATTTCTATCTTTTATTTTTTAATTCAAATAATACTCTATAGTATGTACATTTTGCATAATGTCTTTCTTTTCATTCGACGTCGTAATGTTAGCTATTCTCGTCGATCTAAAGTAATATAAAGTAATATAAATTTTCATTGATTGTTTCTTCAGACTTCCAGCAGGATTTGTACAATTAAGAAATTTAACTGTACTTGGACTTAATGACATGTCCCTTACAAACTTGCCACCTGATTTTGGAAGGTAATATCAAAGTAAACTTTATGGCTACAATATTCTATATATCAGATATTGTTATATAATTTTATTCATTGTTTTATAAATTATTCAAAAGTATGTATTTCTTTTGTAGCTTGGAGGCATTACAGTCACTGGAATTAAGAGAAAATTTACTCAAATCCTTGCCTGAATCGCTCTCTCAACTTTTAAAACTCGAACGGTTGGATCTCGGTGACAATGAGATCGAAGAATTGGTAAATTTTGCGATTTTTTTTCTCGTAAAAATAATACAATGAATGAAAACAATCATATCTTTTGAAATAAATGATGATGTTGCCTTAATTATTCTTTATATACCTATATATATATTTTTTTATTTATTTTTATTTTTACTGCTTACTTATTTAACTGTACTTTAATAATGAATTTTTAGCGTACATATCTTACGAATAAGGATATTATCCGCGTTGTATTACAGATCACATTACTATAATTATTATAAATTATACTTAAAAATTGATAGATTTAAAGTTTTTATTTTGAATTTTAATTCCTTTTTCGGCGATTTAACAGTTTTACATCGACCGATTGAACTAGTTTAGTTATAAAATCTAGTCGTAAATTAATTAAAAGAAAAAATGAAAAGAAATTATTGTTTTATTATATTCTCTCTATAGCCTGCACATATAGGACAGTTACCAGCGCTGCAAGAATTGTGGCTTGATCACAACCAGTTACAACATTTGCCACCGGAAATTGGTGAACTGAAAACGTTAGCATGTTTAGACGTTTCGGAAAATCGTTTAGAGGATCTTCCTGATGAGATTGGCGGTTTGGAATCATTAACAGATTTGCATTTATCACAGAATGTTATTGAAAAATTACCTGACGGGCTCGGCGAATTGAAAAAATTAACTATTCTTAAAATAGATCAAAATAGACTTTCTACCTTAAATCCAAATATAGGAAGGTAAGTGTATGCAATCTAAATTTATGTTACGTTTAACTTATTAAGAGTACAAATTATATTGGTTCAAGTTATTAGTTGAATGTTAGTTGAACTAAAAATTTCTGGTACGTTTTATATGTTTCAGATGCGAGAATTTGCAAGAGTTAATTCTTACAGAGAATTTTCTTTTAGAGCTACCATTGTCTATAGGCAAACTTTATAATTTAAACAATTTGAATGTTGATAGAAATAGCCTGCAATCATTACCGATAGAAATTGGTAAGATGATAAAATATATAATGTAGATTTTTATTGTGTAATATTAAATATACAAAAGTAAATTTTTAATTATAAAAGAACGAAATTTTGGATAATCAGCAAATCATCGTTTTTTTATCCTCTAGGAAATCTGAAAAAGTTAGGTGTGCTATCTTTAAGAGATAATAAATTGCAATATCTTCCGGTTGAAGTGGGACAGTGTACTGCTCTTCATGTTTTAGATGTATCTGGCAATAGGTATGTAATTTTTGTTTTACTTCTCGCAACCATATAATTATTAGCATTATTATTATTACTATTATTATTATTATTATTATTGTTATATTTTAATACGTAAATAAAAGAAAGGCAAGATATAAAAATGTCACATTTGAATAAGATATATGCTGATTTGTTTTATTAACATTAAATTTTGTTATACAGATTACATTATTTACCATATTCTTTAATCAACTTGAATCTGAAAGCGGTATGGTTAAGCGAAAACCAAGCGCAACCAATGCTAACGTTCCAGACAGATATTGATGAGGAAACGGGACAAGAAGTACTAACGTGTTTTCTTTTGCCACAATTGGAATTTCATCCTGATGGTTAGTAATTAATGTTTAATTTATCTATTTTATTGATTTCTCATCTAGAGATTGTTCCTTTTATAAGATTTGTTTAATAATCTTTTAATTTTAATAATAATAATATAATATAATGACAGATTAATTTTAATAAAAAAAATGTATATAAATATACTATAATACATAGTTGCTGATCCGCATGAGATACAGTATAAAATAAATAATTTAATGTTTTTAATTTTTATTTTGTTCTTGTACAAAATTTTATTCGGAAACGTAATAAATTTTGTAACACTCGGACGTGTGTAAGACTGAAACCGAGACTGAAACTAAAAGTAAAAGTCTTTAAGTCAAAGTTCAAAGTCAAATGGAAGAAGTGACTATTCTTATAAAGTAATTGATGAGATTTTATGTAATTAATTATTTTGGTTTTTATTACATATATATTTATCGATGATTAATGATCTCATTTTTTAGATTCAGGTAGATTAGGAATGTTAGTTGGTATGAGAAATGTTCAAGGTTGTGAAATGCGTGAGTTGACAAGTAGCGATGATGAAGGTTGGCAAGAAAGAGAAGCCTCAAGAACGCATTCCGTGAAATTTACTGACGAACCACCAGAAGCCGATAAAGAGGTGCGTTCATTAATTTACAGATTTTTTTACAAATTAGTTTGTATTATTTTTTGTTTTATCTTTTCTTTTTTATTTATCTCGACAAATAGATTCCATTTATACGTCAAAACACACCACATCCAAAAGAATTAAAAGCTAAAGCGCATAAGTTATTTAGCAAAGGAAAAAGTGAAAGTCGATCGGAATCTACGGATGAACAGGTAAGTCTTACGATCAATTTATTATTATTATTATTATTATTATTATTATTATTATTATTTAAATAAATTATAATTTATCGAACTTGTACAAGAACTTGTACTGTGTACATTCTTAACTTGATGGACTTTATTTCGTATTATCTTATAATCTCATTAAAATATTTTTTTAGGATGTTTCTCAAACATTTGGATTAGATAAAATAGAATCAGAACCACCAGTCAATCTTGTAGAGATGCCACAATGTGTTTCTGAGCAGGAGGAATATGTAGAATGCAATATTATACAAGATGACCACAAAAAGCCAACACTTGGCATTGAAGCTGATCGTACAGATATTCAACTTAATAAAGAAGCTAATAATCTTTCCATTCCATCTGCCACGGAATTTCATGCAGTAAGTAATTTATAGAAATGTAATAAGTGTCCTGTATCTTTCATTATACTAATTTTTAACACGTAAATATTTATTAATTAAACAAAGTGTCTCCATAAGTATTTATATGGATTGTAATGTACATATTAATTATAATTTATTCTTGCATTTTTTTACACACACACACACACACACACACACACACACACACATCACACACATATATATATAAGTCTATCTCCTGCTAAATTAAAAGTGCTTATTTTCGTAGAATGCAAGAACTGAAAATTCTGTCTCAGAATCAAAAGAAAGAGATGAAGAAGAATCTGAAAATGAAGATGTACAAAGACACGTTGAATTTAGTATTGTAGAAGACGCAAATAACGAAGATGTTTGCGATTCAAATAAACCTAATAAACTTCAACGTAGAGACACTCCACATCATCTGAAAAATAAACGCATTCATACAGCAATTGATAAAGAAAAAGTTGCTTCGATTATTGCGCAGGTTGATTTTTTTATGTTATTTAATAAATATAAAAGAATTTTTTACTTTTATCCGTAACAATTATATAAAAATATTTAATGCTATTAGCACCTAACTTTTTTTTGTTTAAGAGACATAATGCTTATGTCTTATTTGACACATATTTATATAAAATCGATAATAACATTTAACACTTATATTTATAGGCGCTTATGAAAAAAGTTGATGAGACTCCTACATCTTTACCATCACAAGTGGAATCTATGGAAACATTTGACACGCATAGTCAAGGTAAATTTAAGAATTAGATTGAAATAGAATTATAGATTTGTTATAATTCAACTATATATATTGCACTTATTTATTAATTAAATTACTATTTTATTAAGCAGCAGTTTAGCAATGTTTATTCAGTTTTTATTGAAATTATGGACGTTACTATACGATATTAATAAATTTTTTTTCTTGGAAGATAGTTCTTATCATGTATATTGATAGAAATTTTTATTAAAAAATAACATTAGGAAATTTTGAAAACTTTCTGTACATGTATCTTTGAATCATTTTGATTTTATTGGATAGTAGATCCATCACAAGTGGAATCTATGGAAACATTTGACACGCATAGTCAAGGTAAATTTAAGAATTAGATTGAAATAGAATCATAGTTTCGTTATAATTTAACTATTTATATATATATTGCACTTAATTATAAATTAAATTAAACTATTTTATTAAGCAGCATGTTTAGCGTCGTTTATTCAGTTTTTATTGAAATTATGGCTGTTACTATACGATATTAATAATTTTTTTTTTTTTGAAGATAGTTATCATGTATATTGATAGAAATTTTTATTAAAAAATAATGTTAAGAAATTTTGAAGACTTCCTGTACATGAATCTTTGAATCATTTTGATTTTATCGCATAGTAGAAGGGAGGGAACGTGCGTGATAAGATATATCTCTTACCGTACCTACAGTCTTATCTCTAATCTAGTTATCACCGTGTCTCTGAATGGTACGCGTTAGTCAGTTGATAAATTATAACGGTGTAGTTGTTATAGATGACATTTTTTTATATAAATAAAGTTATTTTATATAAAAGATAGATTGGGTACTTGATACAAGATGCCTAGAAGATATAAATGTTTTATTAGAAGCAAAAGAATTAGGAAAGGTAAATGTTGACATGCATATGATAGTATGTAACAGCCAGATGAGATATATTTATTAAATGCATTTATAATAATTAAAGACTTGTTACTTTAGATGCAACGTCTGATAGTGAACCAGCATTGGAAATACGGGAAGAACAATATGAAATTCATGTAGAAAGAACGACAGGTGGATTAGGTTTGTCAATAGCTGGTGGTATCGGATCGACCCCTTTTAAAGGCGATGATGAAGGCATCTTTATTTCAAGAGTTACTGAAGGTAAATTTTCATTTACAAGTAAATAATTTTAAATTTGTCGCACTGATACATGTTATATGTATATATTTATATGTATGGTATCATGAAATTAATTCGCTCATTATATGTTATACGACATTTATTCAGGTGGACCCGCAGACTTGGCTGGTTTGAGGATAGGAGATAAAGTAATATCTGTTAATGGAGTATCGGTAGTAAATGTAGACCATTATGATGCTGTAGAAGTATTGAAAGCATGTGGACGTGTACTTGTGTTGGTTATTATACGGGAATTTACAAGGATAATTCCGCCGTATGAACAGGTATGAAAGAATTATTTTATCATTTTCAATTTGAGTAATATCTCATTAATTTAGTTGTCAGATCTTAAATTTTATTTTGAGTAAACAAAATTAATATTAATTTTTGTCTATTGTTCTCAGGCATCAACGAGGAAAGATTCCGTATGTTCCAGCTTAAGTACAAGTAGAGCACCAAGTGCAACATCCTATGTTTCATCTACAGCATTGTCACATACTTTAGAAAATGGCGACACATCAATGTCTCATGAAACTTCAAAGGTGACATATTTGTGTTTTTGAACATTTTCAAATATTATAGCTTTTTTTTACATACATAATAAATATATATTATATATTATTTTATAGACGAAAAAGATTCCTGAGCCTATAACGACTGTAAAAGATAATGAACCTATGGTGTCCGTTCTCTTTCACACAACATTAATACGAGATCAAAATGGGCTTGGATTCAGTATTGCTGGTGGAGAAGGTTCGCCACCATTTAAGAATAATAACGATGTAAGTATGCTATAAAACACTTATGTTTTACTATTATACTTTAATTGAGATTAATACTATAAGATCAATACTATCTCGACTACGTTTCTAGGCAATTTTTATCTCGAGAATAACAGATGGCGGAGTTGCCCAAAAAGATGGTAAATTATTAATTGGAGATAAAGTAATGTCCGTAAGTATTTCTTTAAATTTTTTCAAATTTGTATTAGACGAAATTTAATGTACAAATCAATAATTTTGGTGATTCAATTTGTAATTTGTAGATTAATGGAGTAGATATGAGAGGAGCGAAACACGAACAAGCAGTGGCTTTACTTACAGGCTTAGAAAGATTTGTTCGATTAGTAGTCGAACGGGAAATACCACTTTCTCAAGCAAATCTCGCCACTGCTGTGACGCCTTCTGAAAAATCGCCACGCGTTATAGGTGTACCAAAACCTTATACAGGCCTGTATAATGCTAATAGTTATATGGCCAATAGGTCTGGATACGGTGGATATCGTCGCTCCATGGATGCTGACAAAGCATTGACACCGAGTCCTACTTCAAAAACACCGCCGTCGCCACCGGCATTACCCGTGAAATCCGATGTCAATGAGATGCCTAAAATGAACGGTGTAACTGATTCAGGAAACATTCTGAAGAATGTTTCACCAGTATCTCCCAGCCCGACAAGTAATCAAACATATCCACAGCCAGCTCCAAGACATAGTGTTTCGCAGCCGACACCTACAAATAATGCTGGTTCTGCAGCTACAACTCCTCATGTAGAGCCTAGACCAGCATCTCCGCAGGAAGACATACAGGTACCGAAGCCAATCACCAACGAGGAATTTCAAGCTATGATCCCCGCTCATTTCCTTCGACCTCCAACATCCTCGCCTTCACCAGACTCCCATCAGGGCCCCATTGTGACAGTGACGATAAAGCAGCCCGATACTTTGCCTGGAGATGTTAGTTTTCCTCCAGCTCCTACTACACTCGGTAAAGTTACTGAGACCATCACAAAGAGTACACTCACCGAGACCGTCGTAACTAGAGTGACTGATAACCAGTTGGTGCAACCACTCATTATCGAGGTATGTGCCTGTTAATTAGAGAAGCATCAAATACTTTGCACATGTATTGCCAATGTAGTTTTATTCCTACATACAAGTGCATTATATCTAGTTTCACTAGTTTCATTTTTTCTTTTCCTATTTTATACTGTATTGTATGTATTTACTGTATTTCATCAAAATTTTGCTTAATTTCATTACATATGGAAGATACTAGATACGTAGTCTGGACACATTTTTATGCTGAAAGCTTTTATTTGTATTTTTACTTTTTACATGTTCAAATTATTAAATTGTCAAATAGTATTTCATTTTTTTTACATCCTGGTTCTTATTTCCTGACTGGCTGCGATTTAAAATTTAATTAAATTTGCTTAAAACAGTCAATCAATTCCAAATTAACAAAAAAGATATTTTTTTAATCTTTGAATTTATATATTTTGACATTCTGAATTAAATTTATTTCAATTTTGTAGAAAGTACAAGAAAATACAACTAAAAGAATTGACTACGTTCTCTTTATACATTATCATTTCTCCTTATGACTTTCTCTTTTTCCCTCGCTTTTTCTTTTGCACAATTAAAGACATAATTGAGATATATATATATATATAAACAAATATTTACATAAAATTGCGATCTAAAAAATTATAGAATTATTATTATCTCAGAAAATGGAAATTGTAGACTGCACTATATAGTTATTTTATACATTTGAACATTTACATTTTTTTAATTGATTTTTTTTTTTATATGTATATGTGGACTCTTTTTACTTAATTATATTTCTCTTTTATGTCTATTTTTTTGTATTTTTTGTAAATTTATTTAAAAAAAATATATTAATGGGATGATCTTAGAATCAATTTTGATAACTGTCGATGGACATGATAATCACAATGTGTACTTATCTTCTGGCATGGGAATAGGTAAGTAGTGTAAAGATTTGCTTTGTCCCATATATTTGTAATAAAATGGAGTAAGTGGAGAAGTATCGTTGTCACTGTTTTATTTAAATTAAAAGTTTATTGAAATCCATAGCTTGTTCTATCCTTCACATACTAAATATTATACACTCTTAACTTTTATCCTCGTTAATATCTTTGGCACCGTGTAATATTAAAATGTTTATTTGAATGTAGAATTAATTTCGAAATTCTTGTTTAGGATGTTGTTCTTATCAAAGAAGGCTCCTTAGGCTTCAGTATCATAGGAGGAACTGACCATTCGTGTACACCATTTGGTGAAAAGGAACCAGGAATTTTTATATCTCATGTAAGTCTTCAGCTTTGTTTTAATATATAGTAGAATGTCTATTACTTTATATATTATATATTTTGTGTGTGTGTGTGTATGTGTGTGCGTGCGTGCGTGCGTGCGTGCGTGCGTGCGTGTGTGTGTGTATGTGTATACACATTTTTTTACTGTATTAGGTTGTTCCTGGTGGCATAGCAGCCAAGTCCGGTAAACTGAGAATGGGTGATAGGATATTGAAGGTGAATGGTACAGATGTAACAAAGGCTACGCATCAAGAAGCAGTAATGGAACTTTTAAGACCAGGCGATCAAATCGTGCTTACTATTCAACATGATCCACTTCCTGAAAGTTACCAGGTAAATAGCACACAGTTTTTAATGTGACACTGCTTTTAAACAGTTGTTTAGTGATGCTTATAGAGCTGTAAGTCTATCAGATCAAATATAACTTTATGTGTGTACAATTATACATTATGAAACTGCATATTCTTTTTATCACGACAGACATGTATTATTCAACTAACATATATAATGATTTATATTTTTTCTAAACAAAATATGTGTGGTCTCTTACTAGCATCTTTGAAATATTTATTCAGTATGCAACACAATTAGTACTACTTGTTAGTATCTTTTAAGTCATTATTCTCAATTCTTTATAATCACATGCACATTTGAGAAATTGTTCCTTAGGAAAAAGATCACTTTTATGCTTACAAGTATAGGCACTTTATTAAGTAAAACAATTATTTTTCAAAAAAAACTTTTCTTCCTTATTTTGTTAACGTTTTCAAAGAATGCTTGTTAGTTGCGAACACAATGGCACTCGGTGCTTTAGCGTGTGATTATTTCCTTACCTAATGCAGTTTTTTTTTTATAATTTGCCCCACAAGCTGGTCGAAATAGAGTACATCCCTGTGACAGTAAGTACTCGATGCATTTGACATGACCATAATTTTTGTTCTCATTTATGCTTATCCCTACAAGGCTGCAAAATTTACACTATTATATTATGAATGACTCGCTTTTGCTTATGCCGTGCAATTTTACACACGTACAAAAACTTCTTATTTTATATTCAAGTGCTTTTCGTGTTTTACCGTGCTTTTCGTGCCATTATATTTATATTAAATGCCAAATAAACATAATATGACTTTTTTACTCTATAGAAATTTTAATCGTATTTGACCTATTTTTGCGCAATTTGTCAAACATTAACATTAAATTCTTCTAAAATTCGCTCGTTTAAATTTGAATACTGCTAAAGTGATTGTACATTATGATTACATATTATGATTGTACAAATGATATGACTTATTGAAATTAAACATTTTTTATACATTTACTATATATATATAGAGAAATAAAAGACGATTATTTATTGTGTTAAATAAAATAACAAGTTTTAATTTTATAAGTGCATAACAACAATTTTTATTTTTATAATTTTGTGCGATAGAGTCTAAAACAAAAGAAACGGTAATAAACTGTTTTATTGAGAGAATTGATGTTACTTGTTTTAGGAATTAGTGATAACAAAGGAAGCAGGTGAGAAGCTTGGTATGCACATTAAAGGAGGACGAAGAGGCCAGAAAGGCAATCCTTTGGATCATACCGATGAGGGCGTTTTTATATCAAAGATTAATTCAGGTGGTGCAGCTAAGAGAGATGGACGATTGAAGGTAAATATATGTATATTTGTAATACTTCAGTATTTGTTTTCTCATTTTGTGTGACATATTTAATTTATGCTTAAATTTATATATTTTATGATAGGTTGGAATGAGGTTACTGGAAGTCAATGGCACATCATTATTAGGTGCAACTCATCAAGAAGCTGTCAACATTCTTCGCTGCTCAGGGAATACTATTACGTTGGTTGTGTGTAAAGGTTACGATAGAAGCGAGATGGAATCAATATTAACATTATCTGACGGTAGAGATAGTAAAGGAATTAAAACGTCTCACGATTCAAAAGATCCAACTACGGATGACACTAAATCTCTATCACAAAGTGTATCCAGTTTAGACCGAGATGATGAAGAAGCTGCGATTCTTAGACAAGAACAAGAAATGAAAGCTGAACTTGTTGCCTGGGAGCAAGAAGAACGAGAACGTGCGCTTGTAGAACAAAGAGAGAAATCCACACCTGAAAAAGTAAGATTTATTTATTTTATTTTATAACATTTTTTTACATGATAAATTTCGGCAAATTGTGAGTTTTTATAATTTTTATACAAAAGTTTCAAAATTTGTTCCATTTGCTGTGATTTAAATTCAAAAATGTACAGCGACTAATGCATAGAGAATCATTACTTTTTTAAATTTTTGCAAAAGATATAATTATTTTGTAGAATAAATATGCGAAAATCTGTACCTTCCAGTGTATCTTTCAAAAGTTCCAAATTGGTTATATATGATAATTCAATTTATTTTGTTGTACTTCTTGATTCTGACTTTGATATAGGTGTTGGATGTTGTACGTGCGGCAGAATCATTAGTAAGCAAATCAAATAGTCCTGTTGATATGGTTGTACCACCAAAATCACCTGGGGGCACTAAAGATCTCAAGACTACTACGATTGTCATGAGTAAACATACACTAGCACCTCAAAATCCTAATAACGTAAGTACTATATTATTTTTTAATTTGAATCTTGTTGAGTTTTTTATGCATCATCATACATATACATTTTATATTTCTTTAAAGATCCAACAGATTTAAATGTAGTATGTCTTTTGTATATGTATAATAGTATGTGCGTGCGCGCGCTAAATGTTATCTGAAATTCATCTTGCTTTCAAGTATAGATTTTATAGATTTTAATTTGTTTGAAAAAAAATTTAAACCACTCCTTTTAATCCATTTTGTGCATTTCTTATATTTTTATTTGTTTATTATTTGATTAAGTATTTTTATTTTAAACACGAACAAAGAGTATTTTTTCTCATAATTCTATCCTACATATAGACGAATATGTTCGTGATTTTTTCATGATGTGAAGTTGCATGGGATAATTTTATTTCTAATAGCTTAGATTGCTTAGAAAATTATAGTTGACTATTAATGTATCTTATTTTATTGTTAGCAATACATTCCTCTTGTATGTTTTGCATGGCTTTCTTGCTTCATTGTTTTCACGAAAATATTTCATTTTATACTCGTTGCTTTATTTATTACTGCTAATCTACAAAAGTAAAATATTATTTTATTACAATTACAATTACAATTATAATTACAAATTTAAAATACATTTGTTAACTAAATGAAAATTTTTAAACTTAGAAAAGATATGAATTAAATGTACAGAATTTATTATTATTTAGACATTTGTTAAGACATTTAATTATATACCAGACCGAGAGATTTAAATTAGATTTGAATAGCTAAATTAATACTTATCTCATTATTTTGTATGAGACATTTTAATACATTTGATTTAATTTTAACAATCTTTGTACAAAATGTACATGTACAACTATATACATGCAAATGTGCATTTCTATATGAAATGTGAAAATCCAGATAGAGAAAGAGAGAGAGTGAGAGAGAGAGAGAGAGAGAGAGAGAGCGAGAGAAAGAAAGTGAGAGACAGACAGAAAGAGAGAGAAAAAGAAAAAGGTAGGAGCGAAAAGAAGTTTCTTTATATTTCAAATTATTTTCAAAGTTATTTAAATGCCTATTGAATTTTTTTACAGAATTGAATGTTGGAATTTTTATTTGTTAGGAATATTTTTATTATTATGTATTAGTAGTAGTAGTTTCAGTTCTAATAAAATAAAAGATGTTTAAATGTTTTAATTTGAAACATCGTTGAAAATGATTGTTCTTACACAAGTTTTCTCAAAGTCAACCTTATACCTATAATCTTTTTTATAGCCTATAAACATTATATGTATGTATGTACATTTTTTATATTGACATTTCTTGGCAATAGGAATCGAAGCATTTTCATAAAATTCGTAAATTCCTCATGTAAATAAGATCTATTACAATTTCATTAGGTATTCTAAATGGCGCATGAAATGTACAGTTGTCAATTGTCTTTAGCATCGCATGATTTTCTGAGCGCCAAAAAGAGAGATATTTCACATGTTTACAGACAGTGGAAGATGATAGTGCTACTTTGGCTGCCCTCTAACAGGAGTGAGTCGTTCATCTTTCTACTCATTTTTCCTGTATCTGCGTCCATGCTTCTGATTCCACAGGACTGTGCCATAACAAAACATTCTCTAAGAATTACATGGCATTAATTCACGTATAATTACAATTTATCGCGTTTTTGTATGTCTACTAGTGTTATACAGCATAGCTATTGTTACTCCGTTTATTATTATATTAATACTGCCATTACAATATTAAGTATTATTGCAAACATGCTGATGATTGAGTTAGATCTATAATCAATTTATAATTTTTTGCTTTGAGATGAAAACGCGATAGGCACTTTTCAAAAATCATAACGTATAAATGCGATCTTATTACGACTATGCGTGCGTGTCGTACAGATGTGTGTATGTATGTATGTATGTATGTATGTATGTATGTATGTATGTATGTACGTATGGATGTGCATATATATATATAAAATTTATTTATTAATAGATATCAGATAACAAAAAATATTTCTGTGATAGTTAAACAAGTTATAGTAAAAAGATTTCTCATATAATTGACGGGATTTTTTTAACATTTATATATTGATCCATAAATTCATTTGCACAATAAATGTAATTTAGTAATGTATGATACATATAAGATGTGGTTGCTACAGCTTAATCTTAAAAAATTATTGGGTGATTTTTCTCAGCTATCGAATGAATGATCACTAAAAATAGGCAACTTGTGATACAAAAATTAACTTTTCAATATAACAAAAATCTATATGACCTTTTATAAATTTTTTAATTAGTTCTTTTTAATTATGTAAGTAAATATTCTGGTCATTTAAATAATGAAATTTAATTATGTACTATTAGGGGATACACTTAGTTTTTGCCGTATTTTTTTCTTGGAAAACGCATTTATTTCAATAAGAATATAAATTAATATTTTAGTCAAAAAATTTTTCATCGTTTTCTATTATTTTTTCCCCATCTTTCTGACAAAAATTGGATTCCGCGTCGATAAAACGAGCTGTCTTTTGAAGCAAACTATGTATCCACTGATTTTCCTATTTATTCATAATTGGAAAAATGTGTATCAGCGAGTGTTGCGTCGATCGGAAAGGCTAATCCGATGGGACCAAGTCTGGAGAATAAGCTGAGTGCTGGAGAACTTCCCATTCGAGCTCTAACAATGTTTCTTTCACGGTTCTTGCAACACGTGGTCGTGCGTTGCAAAAGTCATGCAAAAGAATCATTTTCCGTCGATTATTGCCCGACTAGAAGTTTGTCGTGACATGCACGACGTCTGGATAATATCTATCCAGAAATTGTCATGGCATTCCCCAATTAAAAATAATGTTAGCCGTGTCACTGGCAGGACTCTAAACAGTTTTTCTAATCTTTGAGATAAGATTTTTCTCGAATATCTTAAAATATCTGAAAGAAACATTGTTAGAGTTCGAATGGGAAATTCTCGAGCACCCAGCCTATTCTCCAGACTTGACCCCATTGGATTACCATCTTTTCCGATCGATGCAATACGCGCTCGCTGATAAACATTTTTCCAATTACGAACAAATAGGAAAATGGGTGGGTACACGGCTCGCTTCAAAAGATTGCAGCTTGTTTTATCATTACGGGATCCAACTTTTACCAGAAAAATGGGAAAAAGTAATAGAAAATGAAAATTATTTTGACTACGGTATTAATTCATATTCTTATTGAACTGAATGAATTTTCTAAGAAAAAAACGGCAAAAACTAAGTATATTTCCTAATAAATATATAATTATGATTTATATCTCTCTCTATTAGAATACTGAAAAAAATTATTATAATTTATTGAACGGTTATTGTCATTTTTTACAGGAACATTAAAAGTCGTCTAACTTAAACAATATTGTTAAACATATTCTGTGTTACATTTGATTAAATAATTTAAAAGACTAAATATGTATATAATTATTACATTTTATGGATAAGAAATGATATACATTTATAAAAAAAATTGCCGACAATTGTTTTATACTTTGCCGTTAAAATGTAAACAAATATTAAATTGACAGTATATAATTATATTGCAATATAAAAACATTAAAGAGAAATAATATAATTCCAAAATAGGTTTTGTACATTTATGGGTGTGTTTATGTGTGTGTATATATGCATGCGTATGTGTGTGTGTGTGTGTGTATTCAACCGGGAAAAATATGTATATACATACAAAATATATTTTTCATAGTTGAATTGTCTACATATTATCGTCTATTTTATTAATTTTGAAGAAGCATACAATATTGACTTCTTATTCAATACACACAAAAATTTTATCAATTAAGTATAATTAATTCGTAATTACACATATGTTTGTAGCGAGTGTGACGTCTTGCATTTTACGTTGTGATTTTACGTTTTTTTTTAATAAAAAAATCGATTTTTCTATTGAACTTTTTAATTAAACTTATTTAGTCCAAATTTAGACCTCTAAATATAATTCAAAAATTTATACTATTAATTACTACCATTTTTATATCAGACAAGACTAGTTGTTTCTAAAAGGTATAATAACATAAACACACGTGATTAAGTTACAAGAGCGCTGTTATTATTCCATTCTAAATGTAAATCTTGAGAAAAAACTCTTCAATTGTTCAGAGTTATAACATTGTTGTGAGCGTGTTTTGCATATTGGCCTTTGTCTCAGTTAGACTTATTAATAGTCTCAACATTACATTAGTGCTACAATTAAGTCATATCATTATTGAGATTTGAATCAATGTATCTATATATTTTCTATAAGCATTATATGTTCATATAACTCTAATGGACCAGATATTTATATATCATTACAAATTATCAGATAAGCTATAATATTTATTTAAAGATATCTAAGAGATGTTAATGTTAAAGTTCCAATTGATCAAAATAGAGGAATAAAATTTGGATGTTTTTAAGATAATCTGCCTATGCACAGAAGTTTTCTGAAAGTGGTTATAGTTATCCCTGTTATGAAATGTATAAATATTAAAAGATAAAGATACTTTTTGCATTAATAATTATATATTTATATAGATAGATAGATAGATAGATAGATAGAGAGAGAGAGAGAGAGAGAGAGAGAGAGAGAGAGAGAGAGAGAGAGAGAGAGAGAGAGAGAGAGAGTGCGTGCGTGCGTGCATGCGTGAGCGAGCGAGCGAGCAAGTGAGCGAATGTATGCGTGTGCGCGTACATGTGTTCTGTGTATGTAAAAATAAAATTGGAGGATGTTATTTTACTGTAATGTAGTTTCACTTTAAAAACTAATTTATTAAACTAATTACCACATTTTATATAATATCCTACAGTAGAGGAGACTGTTTATCATAAAACAATTTTTGTAAAATTACATTCTTTTTTTGTATTTTCTCTTAATTCAACATATAAATAAAACAAGATTTTTACAGATTCTTTTTTAGCAAAATTACACAACTCTTTGTTTTTAAATATTAATTTTGAAAACATTGAATATATGGAGATCGAAGATTGTTTTGAAACAGAAATTCCTATGTATAACGTATGCTTATTTAGATTTGTTTAAATACAAAAGTGATATAAGTATAAAGCAATAAAACTAAATAAAACATACGAGATCTTACGTTTGTATGATATAAATATTTTTTCAATATAGAAAAATATGTGATTTAAATTGAAATGCAACATATCCAACCTAAATTATTCTACAGGATACAAAATATTGCCGAGTGAATGATCACAGGGTATACATAACATAACATAGTGAGACGAAACTTATTCAAATGTATTCCCAAGTATTTAAGACACGTAACAGTCTCCACTACTACATCGATATATACGATGGATAGGGTACAAATGTAGGCTAACTTTATAAAAATGAATATAAGAGAACACATGTTTAACATACCGATCGTATATTTACAAATTAAATTGTGCGCAATGTTGCATGATTTATTGCAATAATAGTACAATTGACAGACAACTATTAAACGTATAGACAGTTACAAACAGAAAAGACGCGATCGGACAGGGAAAAAAATTTGAAATTCTTCTTTAAATCCTACATAGATTTTGTATGACATGTAGCATTTGTGAAATAAATCTGTTTTAAAGTATGCTTATCAAATTTCAAGGAGATTCATATTTAATGGGCTACTATTTAATTTTACCTTGTTCTATTAAAAAGTAAATAATTATTTTATCATTAAACAATTGAACAAGTGTTTTGTAAACTACAGCTAGTTTTATAGATTAGTAGGATGGTGTTGGAATAATCCATATATATGTATTTTGTGTTATAATATATATCTATATTAATTAAATAGCCGTATGTTGTTGGTTGCTTTACATGTAATCAAGTACTTCACGATAAACCATTTTGTTTTATTTCAGTTTAAGCAGTGTTCCACTAACTAAATAATTAATATAATTTTCCATGTTATTTACCCAGTCAAGAACAAATGAGCCATCTGGAACACCAAAGGATTTTTCTTCGTCCAAGTCTTCTACAATCCCTGACCTTCCCAAGGCAGCTAATTTTGAACGTTCCACTTCTATGCAAACTTTACCTTTTCGAACGAAAAAAAAATCTATGCCAAAACGCAGTATTACGTTTGCCGATCTGCCACCGTCTTTAAAAAAGAGTTCAGATTCCATCGTTTATTCGTCCCATGTTAAGCCTACATTATCTAGAATTGAACAATCAATTCAACCATTACAGGAAACATTTACTTCTCATCCACAAGTTATTTCCTATCAAACACCTGCACGTTTCCAACTTCCCCCAACACCTCTAACTGCTCCCGAATGCTGGGAAAATCTTGATACTTCGGCTTCTTTTAGCAAACGACAGATAGCACGTTCTGTTGATGGAAATTTTCAGGTTGAGGTGGGTTTCAGAAGCATGTCTAACTAATCAACATACTAATGTATATAAACACAAAGAACGAAATTGCTAATCTAAGAAAGTTTTTGAATTTTGTCAATTATAAATCTGACTAATAAAAGCGTTATTAAAAATTTTTTGCAATGTAATCCAATCTGGTCTTGTTTATTTTTCTTATAACATGTATTTATGGCACATAAGATGAATGTAATATAATTTTTTATTTGAAATAATTATCTGTTAAATTGTTCTGTATGAAAAATATACAAATTGATATTTATTTGTGTAAATGTTACAAATACAGCAATCTCCAACTTCATCTCCAACGCCACCATTGACGAAAATGTCAGTCAGCGATAAAAAGAAGTTATTCGAAAGTGCTATGGAAGAACATTTAAAACCTTCCCCTAAAACAGGTGAGAATATACGTTGTGTTTTTTATGCCGTATACTTTATGTAGTATATATTTTAATACATAAAATATAAAAAAATTTAATTGATTTTGAATATAAATTGATTAATCTAATTGTATATTACAGATAAAATATTCAGCTTTTTAAGTCAAGACGAGGTAGAAAAAATGAGACAAGAAGAAGGTAAGCTTCCACGTAATGTAAATAGCTAATTATTTTTTTCTTTTATATTATATTATCTTAATACATTGAAAAAAACTATAAAAATCATGCTTTTATAGAAAAAAAAATTGCAACTTTGACGCGAGACGAACTCAAATCATGGGCACAACTTGATGAAAACGAAGGTCTCGAAGATTTGGATATAATAGAAGATCAGGATAATGGACGTCCTAAGTAAGCTTCAACTTTCACGTTTAAATCATTCCTTATTTCGAAAACAATGCAAATTATTACGATATACGTTCACATAGATCAAATGGGAGCATTTATGTTTAATAAATTTATACAATATATTTAATTAAATATTAAAAAAAAGAAAATATATATATATATATACACAACTATTATAAAAATTAAGTGGCAAATTACTTAATTACTAGATTAGGCGAATGAAACATATATATCACGCAGCTTTTAAAAAATTTTAAAAATTATGTTAATATTAGGTTTATATTATATATGTTTATTAAATTGCGATCTATGCAATAGAATACAATGTTTTTGAACAAATTTCGTGTACAATATGCTTAATAGTATATTTATAATTCTGTTTAACTTTAGAATTAAGTTTTTTTAGCGAGAAGAGAAAGGGAGAAAGTATGTGCGTGTATGTGTGCGAGTGCGAGTGTGGGTGTGGTTGTATGTGCATGTGTATTTATAACGTCAAATATTTGTATGTTTAACAATTCAGATATCATCAACAAGCAATATATCGTTATGATCTCTGTGCACAACTATATTATGATTAATTGTGATAATTTTCAGATTAGTGGTTTGTCGGGGAATCTAATAGCTTTCCCGTAGTACTCAATTGTTTATGATTAATTATGGTTACAGTGCAGAAATTGAGGTTTTTTTCTACTTATTCTTCCAAGCGAATAATAGCATATTTTAAATTTTGGTTTATATTAGAAAAATTTACTTTTAAGCCCTACAATATTTGAAGAGATAATTATATAATTTAAGTTTTTGACGCATACATATGCAGCATATATTTTATGTTAATTTGCACTTTTATTTACTGCCAATAAATTTTAGATTTGATTTTGCAACAATTTATATATATATATTACTTATATTTAATTGTAAGAAATTTAAAGCAGTTAAACTACAGTCAATCTTATTACATACAAAATGAAGGAAAAAGAGTTTCATATTCAACTGTGAAACAACTATTGAAACAAATTTAAGTAAAATTGATACATTAGTAATGCAATTTCAGAAAAAATTTCTTTTAAAGTCTCTAATAGATTCCATTAAAATTTTAGATATATTTTAAGTTTAAATTATATTTAAAGTAAATTATTACATATCTAAATGGTTAATATTGCTTGTAAAATGCAAAAGATATGAAAAACTTTTAGTAATAGCATTTACACAAGTTGTTCCTATTTGAAATAGATACAACGCATTTACATATATTCGCTGCAAACTTCTGCAATGCGATCTGTAATGCGAACAATCTAATAACACTAATTTTGTGTTGTCTCTGTACTTTTTAAATAAATATAAAGTTTATAGCGTATATCATTCGTGAATATGCATGCTCGTTACCTTCCAGTAGCCGACTGAGCTCGCGAACTTCGATCCCTCTTATCCAGAATGTTCCCAGCAGCGTACGGACAGCAAAAGCGGAACGTCGTTTGAAAGAACGTTTAATACAAGAGGTATTGCATTTCAATACTTATTAATTAATTAATTATTTTATTAGATGATACAATAATGTATGAGATGGGATTTTTGTGTTTCAATGTATTAATTTATAATTTTAATAAAAAGGGCCTTATTTCGGACGAAGATGAGGAACATCTTTTAAGTCCTGCAGAACAGCGAGCACTCAGAGCGGAGAAACGTGCTGCTTGGCGACAAGCGCGCCTTAAATCTCTCGAGCAGGTAAAGCTGCTGAAAGATTCTATACATTTACCAGTATTAATAAATATAATACGCTGAATGTTTCTTTTTTATAGGACGCGCTCCAGGCACAGATGGTAATCAGAAAAATGAGTGAAATAATGGACGCTGCTAATAAAGAGGAAGATTCGCATGACGCGGCTGTTGCGACCGACCCTACTCCTGATCAAGAGAAAGCAGTTGAGGTAAAAATCTGGGAAGTAGTATCCCAGGACAGTTAATTAACATATAATTATATATATATATATATATATATATATATATATATATGAGACAAGAATCTGCAAGCTTGATTTTGATTGAAAGTTGTGTGTTTAACTCGATTATTTACTAATCGCTGCCTTGCTCGCCTAAAACTAACACTAAGCATTCATCAAGGAAAAAAAATCATGTTATTACAACGGTTCCCATTTGTCTGTCTTTTATTATCTTAGTTTACTACGTTACGGCCGTCTAGCGCAGATTTTCCTAAGCTCGCTGTGCGCAGTAAAGTGGGTCCTCCTAAAGAGATACGCGAATCTGAGAAAGTAGTGGACGAGAAGGTCACTCGGCGTACCGAGGAATATCTTGACGAGGTGACGGGCGAACGTCGTGTAAGAACTGTCGAATACGTCGAGAAGCTCATTGAGCGTCAGGTATTGTGCTTGTAAAATTTGACTCGAGCGTTAAAATATCACATTTATCGTATAAATGAAGGGAATAAAGAGCACAAATATATAAATTATCACTGTTGTAACTATTTCTGGAGTGCACCGTGTTTATTTAAATTCTTTTTTTTTTATCCTTTTATTTTATTTACGGGTATAGATGCGGATTATTCCATGCCAAATCGCACATGTTTTGGGAAACTTGCGAGCTTATGATACATTAACATTTTGTCTGACAACTGGTTGATTAAAAGGAAACTATTGTTAATAATAACATTAATTAGATAAATGGTAGGAAGTATTATTATTAGACACAATGCTGAAAAAGGCACCTAAACATAAGGCAGTAACTAAATTTAGCATCTTTTACACGCGTGTATACGCTAAAAAAACTACATTACGAAAAATATTAGAAGATTAAGAGAACATTTTTTTTACTTGTGCTTTAATGCATCTATATAACTTCTCTGTGTACTGTTTGCTCAATTATTATTGTGTTATTGTTATTTCAAGAGTCCGTCGCTTACATCAATGGTACATTATGCACCATCTTGAACTCTGAATGTTACTTCTACTGATCTCACTAACAACTTTTTCCTGAGCTCATCGGTAATTCGGTTTTTATATATCTTGTGTATATGTTTTAAGCTTATGGCTTTATATCTGTATGTAATGTACGCATGATTTATTTTGTTTATATTTTTCCATGTTCGATGGGCTTTTTATTGCATGTACAGATATGGTAGAATTATGCTAAAGAAAGTGCTGAAAATCAGAAAACATGGGACAATTAAACATACCTTTTCTATCAAAAAAAAAAAAAAAAAAAAAAAAAAAACTGATGTATCTTCTGAAGTATGTATTGTACATATGATGGAAACTGATGTGTTATTTGATCTATGTATTTCAAATTTTAATATATTTATATTATAATTAGGGTGCGGATGTTCGGGCACGATGCCGGAGCGCGCGCGGAGAATCACTGCGTGCAAGTTAGTCGGATGTTCGCTGAAATGAGATAACAATATTTCTCGAGGAAACTTCAAGTCCGAGCTATCCGAATATGATATCTGATGATATCTATCTCGGCTGGCGCGCGGTCTACTCAATGTAAATAAAGCGCGGAGATTATTTTCTGTATTTTTTTTTATTGATTCAAAATCGCGTGAAAATTCCTTTTTTAAAAATGCCGAAATCTTTAGAGGAAAAATTGGCTTCAATTGAAATTGACAAAAATATTTATGATTCATAAAACTGAGCTTCGAGTCTCTTCGAAAAATGTTGCTATCTTATTTCAGCGTGCATCTTGCGACTAATTCGTACGCAGCGATTCTCTACGCGCGCCTCGGGATTGTGTCCGAGAACATCCGCATTCTAATTATAATATATAAATATATTAGATATATTAAGTGTAATATTATATTAAGTATATTGATATATTTAATATACATAATATACATGTATGTTTATATATTCTATAGTCACAAGACATTTTAGATTGTCTCTATTGCAAACTAAAAAATTGTAATTGTCGTTTACGATATATGCTTTATAAGTCCAGAATTGCGCAAAATTAGCTACGATTGAAATTTGTAATGTATACGCTTTAATTAGGTGGAAACTTTGAGGGAGAAGATTATATCATTGGAATTAAGCAATGCAGAAGAAGACGTGGAAAGTATAACTGGTACTGGTGCGAGCGATGCTGAAAGTGAAAGTGAAGATACCACGGGACAAAATATGGCTGCTAGTACCGTAAAAGAAAAAACAGATTCTAATCCTACGACCGATACATCTGAAATTGCGAATGAAACTTGTATTAAAACAAATGCAAATATTACTGTTGCGTCTACAAAAAAGAAGAAACGTAAGCGATCAAAAAAAGGTCGTCACTGACAAAATGTTTTAATGATAGGAATAAGTATACAAAACATTGATGTTAGGGAGACTTGGATAAAAATTGACGAAATTTTTACTATTTCATTATTTTACTATTGCACAAATTTATTGTGTAATATCGTTCTATGTGAATATGCATACATTTATGATACATAGATAAATCACATACATACACACACACACACACGCGCGCGCACGCGCGCGCGCGTGCGCACTTATGTTTCAATATTCTTTTTAGTTTTCAATGCACCGATATGCAATTACTATCACATAAATATACTTGTATTTTATCTTTCTTTTTCCTTCATATAAATATAATGTATGAATATAACAAAAATGGCGATCTGGCTCTAGATAAACGTATTGTATTCAGTAAAAATATAATAGATATTTATACGAAGCTTCATGATTGATTCAATGAATACAGTACGTCTATTTATCTGTATAGAAGTATAATCATTATTTTTATTACATTTTGTATACGTACCACATATGTATTACAATTTCATAAATCTAAGTATAACAAATTGATGAATTTGCATATTTTGATATTAAATCGTGTTATTGCATTTTTGTACGTTATCATGGATATATTTAATGAATAATTCATTTCTTGTCTATCTGGAATTTTGCTAACTCACCGGGCAGTATAAAATAAATTAAATCTAAGAAAAAAATGAGATTAAAGATAAAAAAAAGTTAAAGTAATTAAATAATATTTCAATATAACAAAGAATAACACACAGAAAGCTATAATTACATTTATGCCATTTGTTATTATTTCTTGAATTTTTTGTATACTCTAATTTTATTGAATATAAGGATGTATTTTAATATAATTCGTTTTTATCTTACCTTTTGATTGTGTAGTAACAATTATACACGTCCACGCAATGATTTTGTGTGTGTGTGTGTGTGTGTGTGTGTGCGTGCGCGCGCGCGTGTGTGTGGATGTGTGCGTGCGTGTATTGGGATAAAAGACGAAAGGTGTTGTACTGGCGAGGAATTGTCGGACGCCATTTTTTATTATGCGCATGATGAGAGCCATGCATTTCCATTTTTTAAATTCTTTACGACTTTTTATCGTTTCTTTAAAAAGATGCTTTAAATATGTGATAAAACTATGCAATTAAATTTGTAATATTATAATTACAGTACATAAATTATGACTGTTTTATAATTGCATACAGTATAACATTTTTATAATCCATTGTCATATACTGGTTATTTATATTCATTGAAATATGATGAAATATTTTAAAATTAGCTATTTTTTGCTAATATCATGTAAAGTTTTAAATAATTGACTGTCGCTGAAACACTGTTTAAATTATAGACTTCAGACCAATTGGCCAATGACTTATACAGAATATTTTATTTATTTGATTTTAATATATAACTTTTACAAAGATATTTTGATCTGCTACAGATTGCTATAAGAAAAGTAAATTCATATTATTCCCATCAGATAAAAAATATCAAATTTGGATTTATATTTAATGCAAATTGAAGAGCCTAAAAATCGAGCAAGCGTAGACTATTATATAGACAATTTGATAATTTCAATGTATAATTAGAACAAGTTTACATCTGTTTCTATATACTTGTATATGTATATATATATATATATATATATATATATATATATGTATATATGTATATATATATATGATACATATTTAATATTTAAAAATTTTAATGTATTTCTTTAGTGCATGTACGCCAGACTGTGAAAAATTTAAGACATCACACTTTTTATATAATTTATCATCTATAATGTTGCCTTAGATTTAAGAATATTATTTTATACCGAATATTTTTTTACATTATTTGTTAATCCGAAAAATATGCGGTTAAAAATATGTATTTATTTGATAAATAATATGAATGGACATGGATTTTCCAACGAATGTAAATAAGTAAAATTTAATGAAATTACGATTATCTGCTTAAAGTGCGATTAAGAATGAGGGACCAATGAATGAAATTAACTAAGCTCGTCCGTTTTATTAGAAAAGGTATTCGAAAGATACTGTATTATCGATAATATTTAGACGTTAATGTTAAAACTCTATCAAATATCAATTAATGTGTTATGTACGAGCATATATAAGCGAGTGGAGGAAAAAACTAAAGTTTTATTTCACTAAACCAATCTATCTAATCGAAATATTTTATCTTTAATTATGTGGCACACACCTAAACTATTTGTTGATATTACAATTTTTAAAATTAATAATATTTAATTAATGATCAATGTTGTAAGAAATTATCAATTATTGATGTTGTAGGAATATTATTAAAAGTGCCAATGTTAGTACTTTTTCAAATAAGAGAATATATTATGTACTTCGTTAAAATATCTAATTATCACATAAATTTAAGATATGTATATTTTTTCTGTTTCGCTATCTTTCTTCCTCAATTTTATTTTGCAATGTAGTACATCGTTATTGTATAAATTGTACAACATATAGATTCAATACTAACCTATATCTTATTTTTTATTTATATAAGCAAGATATAATTCTTGCTTATCTGCAAAGTTTAAAAATGCATTCAACTCTGGACATTAAACATATTTTGAAATATCGCGTTAAATATTGCAAAACATCATTAAATTATTTATTAATTAAACGTACATTAATTATATTTTAATCAAATTATCTTGTACTTTAGTTTCTTTATTACTATTTATCTAAATTTGAAAAACTGTGGAGGAATGAAAGGAATGTCAAACATGCATGATATGAAATATAAAATAAATTAGTAAATAAATCATAATTGATAAAATAATTGTGCAGTAAAAATCTAAAGTTTTTTTTATAAATCCATCTTTCGAATTCTTTATTATTCATGAAATAGACGAAGTATCTTTTTCTTTCATAAACAGTAAATTTGAAGACAAAATGTTTTTCTTTTGTTATCATTGTTATATCAAGTTTATATATTTTTTTGCCATAAATTTACCATTGTGAAAATTTAAAAATTTAAATGATGAAATGCATTAATGTATCTTTCATCTAAGATATTTTACCAAGAGTTTAAGGTTTTTAAACGCGTAAAATGGTTATGTATAAATAAAAATAATTTGTGCACTTATTTGTAATAAACAGTTGGCATTTCATTCACAGGATGTGCACTATTAAACTGTCGTGTTTCTTTATACCTCTGTTCAACTAGTTACATGTTACGTCAACGTTTGTAAATTATCAGCATAGAAGCGCAGAAATACACATATATAATTCTCGTAGATAAGACATTGTAGACACCATAAACTATTTGAAGTCTCTTTGCGGCATAATTTCTTATTTTTTTGATGCTATTATACCTTCCAATTGAGTCTGAAAATTGTAATTGATTTACGAGAGAGAAATATCTGATTTTTCGAAAATAAAGAAATATGAAAAGTTTTTTTCATGTTTTAATTCCTGTTTCTTATATCTAATTGTTTAAAAATAAATATATTACGTAAAAACAATATTAACAGTATTTAAAACAGTATTTTAACGTAATAAACGTCACATTTCCTTATGCTTCCAAATCAAATAAACACTTTTTACCTTTAGTTGCATATTTGTTTTTTTTAGAAATTGTACTTCCTCCATGTGTTTCTTTTCCTCCGCTTCTCTTAATTCGATTGATCTTTTCTCAGACTGATCATACTTGAGTCTTAATTCCGCAACCGTTCTCTCCAATTCAATTTTTTGTAATTTTAATTCCTCAGCCGTATTAATCAAATTTTCCTTGCCTTGCTCAGCCTGTAAAAATGATTAACAATTATTATTAACGATAAATAAATTTTACAGATTAATTTTGTGGTATCAAAAGATATTTCGTGCGCGCGCGCGCGCGAAATATTATAAACTGCTTATTGTAAACTTGAAAAAATGTGTATAATAATAATATATATTATAGAAAGATAGGTACTTGCAATGCTTTACGCATTCCGAAAGCAATGCTACTTTGATACAATGTCTGATACGCAGCTAATGTCATATTAATTTCATCCCTTACTCGCAATAAAAGTAATCCACGTTCAGCGCAATTTACAGTTACTTGTCGTATTAATTCATCTGAAATGTAATACAATAATGTATATTGAATTTACCTTATGTATTAGAGAGATAAAGTTTTATATATACTTGTGTATACACACACACACACACATACCGAAACATTGGGTATAAAGCTGCCTGCGAACAGGACAAATACCGGTTTCTCTGGCCTGTCTTTGTTGTAATCGCATATCAAGTTGCTCTTGTAAATTTATCACATCTAATCTTGTTGCGGGAGTACTTGACACCTAAATAATAATAATAATAATAATAATAATAATACAGCATATTATTGCATGCCATTTGTCGTACTGTTGTACATTGCATGAAATTGAAAAGATATAGCTTGAAAAGATGGAATGTGTTTAATTTTACACGTTGTGTCCATATTTGGCCATCCTCTTCCCATTCCTTCGGTGGTAAAATTCTATTTAAAATTTGAATAGTTTCTCGTCGTATATCAGTTGAAGGTGGAGTTGTTTGAATTTTGCAAGCAGCAATACCGACTTTTGCAACATCCTTACGTACCTGTTTGTTTAATCAAAACATTAATTTATATACTTAACACATATTTATTGTTTCGTATTTGCATATATATGTACGCGATTATCTTCAAAGAGTTATAAGTTATATAGAAGAAGAAAATGAATAAAAATTTGTCACACCTTCTCTGAATGTGTCGTAATCAAAACTGGATTATCATACTTGACCAACGTGTCCATAGCAGGAATTGTGCGTTCTTTGATCGCCGTCGCCATTTATTTAAATAGAGGATTTACGTAGAATGTAACTAAAAGCGCAATTGTATTATGATATTACACGCTAAATATTATTTATCGCAAGCAACAGGATATCAATGTGCGATAGCTTCCGTCTGTCTATATGAAAGCTGGTAGTTGAGCAATCATCGTCATGGAAACGCACTGATGCACCGCTCATGGGCTCATGCTCACGCGGCACCCGGGGCCGCCCGGAGCTGTCCGGATCCGAGGACCCGCGGCGGCCTCCGCCGCGTCCGACGAGCAACTCGACTCTGCTCATCATCTTTGCCGTTTGATCGTTTCAAGTTTAATCGGCGTTTTAATCGGTTTCAATATTCAATTTTTAATTAAAATGATGTAGGTATAAACTGTATCTTATATTTACCTAATCAAAATCGAATTTTTTTGGAGAGAAAAAATCGAATACAAGATCAAAGTCGACTCTGCCTTGAAGCTGCTCGATAGAGATGCTGCATCCTGCTCGGTAAATAATTTTTACATAATTGCGAAAAATGGAATAAATATAGCGACAAACACGAAGTTTGTAAATAACAGTTTAATATAACAATTTATCATTAAAAAAAATATAAAGTTCCGTGTCAAAAGTACTAGACTGATTATTTTTAAAAATATATATACATGTACATGTAATTGCGCATACACAAAGTTATCCGAAACAAGATTCAGAACTACAATGAGATATCATTATATACAATAAATAGTATCGATAGCACTTTATGATTATTATACAATAATGTATCCAAATCGTAAATCTCTCGTACATTGTTGTTATTATTATTATTATACATTTAAAGATAAAAGATACTACATATAATTTTACATGTAATTTTATATGTAATTGATAATTATATAACTGCGTTCAGTTGTGAAATAAAATGTTCTCTCAATTCATTTGTACTGAAATCGTCCACGTCGTCATTGCTTTCCTCGAAAATATCTTGAACCGTGCCTGTTACGGTTTCTGTACTATCCATCACGATTTCTTCGCAAAACGATGTTGCATGCTCCACATCATTCTTCGTATCAACTTCCATGTCATTCTTTATAGGCTGATGAGTATCATGTTCGTCTGTATTTTGTTTTAAAGAGATCGCTCGTTGTATTTTGTTATTATTTTTACTGGCATCTGAAATATTTTCTGAAATACTCGAGGGAGCTTGCAAAATCGACAATGGTGGAAGCGGAAATCCGTAATTTAACAACTTTTTGTATCCATTCGTACTGCAGATTTCTTTAATTTCCATTGACATTCCTAAAACTCTCTCGGAATAGTCTTCCTTCATACTGTCTATCATTATTTCGTGAAATCTACTCGTATTTCCATCCAAGAGCTTCTTTCTTCTCATAAAGGTTTGCATATTCAACATTTTCCTCTTATATGTATTTGTATTTTTCTCTGCTCGCTCGAGATATTTCGAAGCTTTTTCCAATTTCCAGTTGAGCTCTTTTATTCGTTTATCTCTCTGCTTGATTTGACCCTCTAACTGCCTCTTTTGTTGACACTCGATAGTTATAGTTTTCATTAACTTTTTGTTCATCTCTTCAAAATTATTCATTCTATTTGACAAATCATAAATCAACTTTTGCCTCATATCCATTTGTTTACAGTTGGTTGAAGATGGTGTGCCATCTGGACTTTTATTCAATTCGTTCATCTTTTTTTCCATTTTTTTCGTTCTTAATTTGAACATAAAATTTTCATTTTGCAACTTTTTCTCCAAATCCTTAAGCAAAATGAGTTGATTAGTTAATTGTCCAATGACAGTCTCTTGGAGTTTCACTTTTTGTTGCAATTTCTCGTTTTCACTAGTTTTATTAGTATCATTTGATTGTTCAATAACGCTATTAACAATGGCATTATTCAGATCTAAATCCTTCTCTTCATCCATATGCGATGACAATAATCTTGTAGTTAGACAATCGTCATTTTTCAAATTTGACAAAGCAAGTAATATTTGATCCGAGTTACCTCTCGATGGAATACCACTTGCGATTTGGCGGCTTGGCGAAAAAACATCGTCGTTGCATTTATCTGTAGAGGAATTTGTTTCTATTGGGCAATCGTCTATCGTTATGATCGTTGTAACAGATGTATTATTCTTTTCTTGCTGTAAACAAGTATTATTGTTTTCTTGAATAGTAAAATCTTTTGTATCTTTAAATAAATCTTGCATAATATCAAATACATCCTCGCGATCGCCTGTAACTTTGACTGTAAATTTTTTCGTGTCTAATGTGGCATCGTCTTTATTGTATCGCCTAATTTCAGGCAGATTCAGTTCCTTTTTTACTTCGTTTTCTATTTCCACGATGTCCGAGGTATCGCTGTTATTTATAGAATTTGTATCCTGGAGAGATGCATTTTGAACGGACCTTTTTATAGAGTTGATAATTTCCTCTCGAGTTCTTTGTTTACAAGCTTTCTTTAAAGCACTCCTCACGTTTGCCGCACCGTGTAAATTCTCTCTGCTGGAGACTTGTACATAGTCGAGACAAGTTTCATTAACCTCTTTATTATTAGTAATACTATCGACGCTATCGACATTTGTGATATGCTGTTCCTGCCGTTTATCAATCTCATTAGTCCCACTGTTATAAAATGTATATCTAGGAACTCGTGCAAATTCTTCTCCGCTTTCGCTGCCAAAGATGATCTCGATATTGTCTCTGTTGTCGGAAAGTATATCTCCAATTTCATTCCTCGGCGAATATTTATAATTTATACTTTTGTGAAACGGCAACTGCGTTAGCGACTTCTCTAAAGTTCCTTTCCAATTCCGAGAAATTGAATTTAGTTTCTCCACATTAGATATATTCCTCTCTTCACGGTGACCGTCACAAATTTGTTTTAATTTCTCCTCTATCTCGTCGTAACCATCGTCGACAATTTGATCAATGTCCTGTTTAATTTCCGTTTTTACAGCAACATCCTCATTCTGGTTATCAGTTGAATTTCTCTTTGCTATGAAATTACTAACAGATACTTTATTCTCCGCACTTGTTTGCGACCACTTTTCAAGTTCGTTTTCTTTGGCATTACTCTCTGTCTCCATATTATTATCATCTGAAATTACAATGTTTTCCTGTTGAAGATTATTCGTAATATCGATGTATTGCCCATGAAATACCTGTTTGTCGTCTATCTTTTTTGGACTTGAACGATTTGCCTGCTGATACGCAAACGACCGTACAGATGGATTATCAATGTCCTGCGAGTCGGAATCTTTTTCTTCCAGGTGGCCAATTGACGAATGTTCGGTATCATTTTCCAAAGACTCGGTCATGTAAACATTTTCATATTCGTTCTCACTTTTGATATTTGCTAACTTGATGCGCTTCTTGGCAGACTTTCTGGTTGACGTTACGGTAAAAATAGACGGGATGGCATTTTTCTTCAGTCTGATTCTACCATTTTGGGTTATAGACCACTCCTCAGGTTCAAAATGTACGTGACAAAGAAAGGAATTGTTAGATGGTTCCCAATCGGCCCTGGCGACGCGATCCTGCCAGATTTTTCTCAACTTTGGATCGCGAGGGAAACATTTCATGATGTAACCCTTTTCACTGCGATTATTGCAACCGACAGCCGCGCAACCTGGCATTTTTTTCAATCAAACGAATGGTCAGTCGAGTGAAGGATAACCTACAAATTTGAAACGTCAAAATTAAAGCATAGAAATTAGAAATGCTGCAAAAAAAAAAACACATGTAGCACACAGTGTGTGAATTGTATTTCAATAAAAAAAGGCGAAAAAAAAGGAATGCATTAAAAGTGCGATATACACGTTCCGTATATTTCCTTCGAGTTTTATTTACCAGAAGTGCGAAAATCAGATTTCATCGTAAATCCGCTTTCGGCGGAAAGTGCAGTTAAAACGAATAGGCTTTTAATTATATACTTTTTATACAAATTGTTTTTGAAAATTTGATACGATATTACGAAAAAAAATTCAAAATTCTGCTTACCCCTCTTTTCACATTAACTTCATTCTCGTTCCAAAGAAAGTAGCTTGTACGTGTAACACATAATATATAACACTCCTCAGCAGAAGGGGATAATATCGCCTGTAAACGTTCGCATTATTAATGTGAATTATATACGTGAAGGTTAAGAAACTTTTCAACTTGGACGCGCAAATGATATATTGTCAAGCTTTCTTACAGCACGAAGTATATGCTGGGATTCTACGTGTCGTGGTCGTCGTCGTCGTCGTCGACGTCGTCGTCGCCCGTCGATGTCGTCGCGTACATACGCCTGATACGCCGCAAGTGCCGCAACATCAGCAACATGGCCGCAGCGCTCCGTACTTTGGTACTCCGGTATTACATATTTTATTTGTAGCCAATGAGATTTCGGGTGCGGTTTATTTCATGTCTGTCAAATAAATTATATGATATACATATAAACGTCGATTAAGCCTTCCTTCCGCGCGGGTTCAACAGTTCCGATCAATAGCTTTCTCTCACTTTTTTTAACCTTACCCAACAATATCACAGTTGATCAGACAGAAAGAAACTGAGATGTATTAATAATCTCTAATAGAGGTTAACCCAAATAGGTTAAATTGTTTACCGCGCACAAGTGTATTTTGCAGCTGAAAGCTGCACGATGAATAAAAATACCCGTGAAACAACACCAGGCGATGGCTTACGATCATTGCGGAGCACTACGTTATTTCGTGCCATTAATTTCGAGTTGTACGTCAAACCGGTAAGAGATCATGAAACTGGATTATTCCTGGCCGAAATTCAGTTCCACATCGTACGTCATTTCATTAATGAAATATATTACTTGCAGAACAAAACCATTATGATATTTGGTATTATAGCAATGTTGGGCTGTTCGGGATATATATTTTATATGAATTCTAATCAGAAGAAGAATGATTATCATGCTATGGTTAAATCGGACGAAACAGTGGTATTGGTGAAAAAAGCTTCCAAGTGGACTGATTAAGTAAGAAATTCCTAATGAATAATGAATATTGAATTATTTTGCAGTTAAATAATTGATTCAAGTTTTTCAAAATATGTACGTATATTGTACATACATGTATATGTTTACATAGATTCAAAGACTTTAGGACAATTGCGTAAAGTACAAATTACAAGATTATAATAATCGAAACAGGCAAAAATATCTATGTATCGTTTAACAAAAGAATTAATAAAAGATTAGTAATTAAAACTTATCATCTTTTTAAAATTGTATTAAATTTGCTTTGCGAGATGCCATCGCCTCTGATAACATAACATTATTATTAGCATTATTAGTATATTCTAATGTGATTTGTATTTATTATCAACTGATATTCATTATTAAACTATATTTGAACAATAAGAGAATTGATTTTTTAAGATTTGCGAAATGTTGTCTAAATACATATACATCACACATAACTTTTCTAAAATGGCTTGCACACATTAATCTGTAATTGTTACAAACATCTATTGTCCCAATATGTGACAAAGTGATTGTACAATGAAATTTTTATTTATCGAAATATATTTCACAATATTTCATAATATCCAACAGAATTTTATTGTAAAAATAATATAGTTACAATTATATCGTCATCTATATTTCATGGATAATATGTCATAAAGATTTTATTGATAACAGTTTTATTGATAAGTTAACATGTATCTTTCTATCTACATTCTACATATGTATACATATGCGCCGCACATTACATGGTAATGTACAATATATAGTATATAATTTTATACAGAATTTTAAATTCTTTTAATCAATTTAAAAAATCAACATTTATAGTGTATCTAAATTTATACAATTTTACTGCAAATTGATATAGTTGGCAGTATTTGATATTTCTTTTTCCAATTTATTGAAAACATGTGTATTTTTCATGATTATTTTCATGATTAAAATTAAGATTCTAATTTCTGAATAAAATAATTATCATCAAAGTATATTCACACGCGTTATTACTACTTTGTCATACATATATCTGATATATACGTAATATTTTTCATGCGCATCGTTGTTCTTGCTATTCAATTTACATTTATCAATAGATTTATTTTGATAATTTGGAAAAATGTAATAAGATACATATAATTCTAATTTGTATATGCGTATACACACTCTTATACAAGGAAGCCCACTGTGTGTTGAAGAATAGATACCGCTAAGAAAAATGTAATTATGTAGTAGTTAACTATATTTCTCTACCAACATATAACGATATTTATAAACTACCTTTCCTTTTCTTGTTTCCTTAACGGATTTTTATTTGTATAGCGCCGTTATATTCTAAAAATAGCTAAAAATTTTCAATATCAAGCCAACTATATATATTTACTCTTCTGGTTATTAATTTAGAGCACTCAAAAATTTTCACGCCATAACAGTTTTCCTAAGCTACTATAGATATATAACTCTTTTACTTTTAATATAAACGACATACACACATACACACACGCACGAATTATATACATATATATAATTCTTTATATAACAACACATCGAAAATTTGGCATCATTCTAATACTTTGCAGCATTTTGTACTTTATTCTGTAAAATTTTGTGACAAAGAAGAATGAGAAATAAAACAATTTATCACAGGAACGATAATCTTATATAAATTAATTTGATGTCATGTAAAAGACAAAATGCATGACTTTATTCAACAAATTTAAATATTAGTAAAAACAAATTATTTCTTTGGTTACTAATTGGAAATTGAATTTTGTCAAATAAATATAAATATATATTGCCATATTTTCAATATTGATCAATATTGAGGCCTGGTTATTAATTTGTATTTGTAAATATTCCATCTTAACACGTACAATCGTCTTGTGCTTCGGGGAATAGCTTTATCGTTTCATTAATTGCGTTTGCCACATAATCCAGATTATTTTCATTAAGTCCGCACATATTTATACGCCCACTGCGTAACATATAAATGTGATAATGATCTCTTAGATGCTGCACTTGCTTCTCTAAAAGAAAATTAAAAGGAAAAAAAATTTTTATAACTAGTTTTATCAAACTGCATTGTAAAATCAAAAATATAATTTTTACAACTAACCAGCAAGTCCTGTATATGAGAACATTCCAATTTGCTCAATAATATGATCCCAAACACCTGGAATACCTAATTTGAGCAGTCTATGATGCAAACCTGCTCTCATTTGTTTAATTCTACTAGACATTGTTCTAATATGATCCTTCCTAAAATATCAAATTAAAATAATTAGAATGATTGTTTTTTTTTTTTATGTTTTATGTGTGTATTTTACAAGATTTTTAACAAATCAATACCATTCCTCAAAAAATTCCGGATTCCTCAGGACAGTTGCAACAATTCGAGCACCATGATTAGGAGGATTGCTATACATTCCTCGGATAATTAACGTTAATTGTGATTTCATTTCAACCATCTCCTTTGTATCGGCCAACACAAAAACCATGTTACCGACTCTTTCGTTGTACAATCCAAAATTTTTTGCAAAACTTTGTGTACATATGAATTCGATTCCACGTTCGGCAAACATTCGTACAGCATATGCGTCTTTATCTAAATCTCCACTTGCAAAACCCTATTAAGGATCAATTAGCAGATTTATTAGAGTGAGCTATAAACAGAATTATATAATCGTAACTTTGTTATCTATTCACTTAGATATTGATACCTGATATGCACTGTCAAATAATGGAAAAAGGTGTTTATCCTGTATTACGTCAGCTATTTTAGTCCACTGCTCCGGAGTTGGATCGCATCCAGTAGGATTATGTGCACACGAATGCAGAATAATTACAGCATTTTCTGGAGCATCTCGTAAATCACGGAGCATTCCTTCTATATCGATATTACGGGTCTTTTCATCCCAGTATGTGTATTCACGAGCATTTTTAAAGCCTCCATTAGTAAATACCAGTCTATGATTTTCTGCCAGCACATAATCTTATAATATGAAATTTTTCACTAATAGATGGAATAGAATAACATATTATTCTTTTTAAATTTACTTACCCCAGGAAGGTTTACTATAGTAAAAGGTATCGTAATGTAGAATACGACTCAAAAATTCAGCGGCAACACGTAGTGCGCCAGTACCAGAAAGCGACTGAATACCAAAGGCACGGTCTTGGGCAATAACAGGAGAATTTGTGCCTAATAACATGCTTGTAGCAGCTTCACTAAATGCTTCTAAGCCAAGAACTGGTAAATATTCATGATTTTGTAAATCATCTGCTGCAAGTAACTTCTCTACTTTTCTTACAACTGGTAGAACCCATGGTTTACCTTCGTTAGTACGATAAGCTGAAAGAGATTCTATATTTTTTAGTTATTCATTATAAATATATAAAATATTATAATTATAAAATTAATCATGTAGATTACAAAGAAAAACATAAATTAAGCTTTAAAGCATGCAAAATTTCAAGAAATGTTCATGCAAATTGGAAAATAATTATTCTACATGTAATTCTATGTATGTATATTTATTTTCTATTTATCTATTAATATTTAATATTAATATACTTGTATTGACAAATTAATTTGTTAGATTTTAAGTGTGGTATTTAATAACATATGCATTGATTTATATTTATTTTTATATGTTTTCTTGAGATAATTGTGTAAGAGAAATTGTGCATGCGCGCGCGTGTGTGTGTGTGTATGTGTGTATGAATGTGGAATATTATGTAATCACTCTGGATCAAAGTGATTCAAAGGTATAAAGTATGAAGATAAAAGAAAGTAGATCTTGTTATACCTACCTCATATATAACATTTATTTACATTTATTATTAAAATATCCTAATTTAACAATAAAAAGTGTTTGGCTTTTCAAAGAGCTTGTTAAGAGCAAGCATCATATAACTATATAAATCTGTGTGCACAAAATTAGTCCTGCTTTTCAAACAAAATTGAGAAAACTAAATGGTCTTGAATGTGTAATAATTGTAAAAAAAAATAAAACAGTTACATACCTCCTATTGTAAGATTAACTTTGTTTTCATAAGTATCGTCGAGATATGCTTTTTGCAATGCAAAAACCTCGATAGGAGGCCCCAATTCTATTCCCGTGAATCTGGTGCTCATCGTGTCAATACTGTCGATGCGAGACAGCAGTAGATAATAACAGTGGCGAGGTAATAATATAAAATAGAATTCGTGAGAAAGAAAAGCTCACAGTTGTGCAGCGTGAATAGAAATAGATATGCTGGAAAATAGGCAAAGCAGTGTTGAAACGAAATCGCGCGAAGATAGACGAAGTATAATAATCCTTTAGTCTGACTGTGTGTATGTGCGTGCGTATATGTACACTCAATTTTTTACACTATGCACCGATTGACGTAAAGACCGGCAAGAGGGGACGGAAAAACGACGTAGCAAGTAACTAACTTCACTTGCGTATCGTGTCATGTGCAATGAAGCAAGTGACAGCAGTAGTTCTCAAATGCATCTGATTATTAAATGGTATTTAAATTTGACCGAATGTAATCTTCAGGAGGTGCTTGCGTTCCGGAATTCACGGTATATCATTTTATCCTTGTCATTACACCGAATGTTAAACAAGGATAAAATAATATCTAGATGCACCTGGGTGAAGTTTCTGAACGCAGCCCAATTGAATACGTGTATATGTGATCCTAGTGCAGATGCACTGCTTTGACACTATCAGAATTATTTCTCTAAAATTTAATATTTTAATTTATCGCGTAAGTAGGTTACAATGAGACTTAAATCTAGAGATAAAAGAATCTTTCTTTGTCTCAAGTCCCGGATCGCGCGGCAACTACGCAATAAAATGGGATGTTTTGATTGGTCAATGCGGATGGACCAACGACATATATATATAGACCGAGCATTCTGTCAGAGAGGATCCTGAGAGCGGCCATGCCCGCGATTTAGCTGGGACAGGCGATTGAGCTGGTTTCAGCGCCTCTATGTCCACAAAACGTGGACATTGAACTACGTAGCCAATGTCCACGATTTTGTCGGTTATGTCCACGATCTTTTGGTGGTGATCCGTGCTATGTCCACGGTTGTGTTCCGTGCTATGTGCAGGAATGCGAGTAGGTAAGATAGACAAGGACGGACATCAAT